TTCAACTCCCCCTCCCATTCCTCAGACGACATGTCCATCCTGGGCCTCCTGCAGTGCCACAACGATGCCACCCGAAGGTTGCAGGAACAGCAACTCATATTCCGCTTGGGAACCCTGCAGCCCAATGGTATCAATGTGGATTTCACAAGTTTCAAAATCTCCCCTCCCCCCACCGCATCCCAAAACCAGTCCAACTCGTCCCTGCCTCCCTAACCTGTTCTTCCTCCCACCTATCCCCTCCTCCCACCCCAAGCCGCACCTCCATCTCCTACCGACCAACCTCATCCCACCCCCTTGACCTGTCCGTCCTCCCTGGACTGACCTATCCCCTTCCTAACTCCCTACCTACACTCACCTTTCCTGGCCCCATCCCCGCCTCTTCGACCTGTTTGTTTCCTCTCCTCTATCCCTCTTCTATCCGCCTCCCACTCTCTCCCTATTTATTTCAAAACCCCCTTCCCCTCCCCCTTTTCTGATGAAGGGTCTAGGCCCGAAACGTCAGCCTCTCTGCTCCTATGATGCTGCTTGGCCTGCTGTGTTCATCCAGCCCTGCACTTTGTTGGAAGAAAGGGGTGGGCGGGCCGTGGATCGTGGATCCCGAAGGTCCATGCCTACATGGTACTCCCCTTTCCCCCACCTCCCCATCCAAAACCTCGGTGCTGCTGGCGAGCGGCCCTATGTGACGTAACGCGCACGCGCAGCCGCTGCGGCCTCCCCCTCCCGCACAACAGTCTGTCAAATCAGCCAATAGGGGTCAGCCGAGCTTGCGATGCTTCGAGAATCCTGAATCGTTTCCGTCGGATGGGCGCCGTTTCCCTTTTAAAATCCAGTTTTGGGCGAAACTCTGTCCGCAATTCGATGGTAGATTACGCAACACGTATTGAGGGAGGAAAGGTTTTGAAAAGAAGGCTTATCGTCAATGTTCGCCGCTCTGACATTGTCAGTGCCAGAGGTAGGGATGCTGCAAACTTTCTTCGACTTTCCGTGTCAAGCCGATGTCATTTACCTCGTCAGATAAACATGAAATCGTTTTGTTCATGTTGCTTCCAAGATCACAAACTGCCTGTGGTTTAAAGTAATCACGAAAAATCTGGATCGTCTAATAAGTAGATCAGATCTCTGCTAATCAAATACAAGTTGAGCTCACATCCCAAATTTTAGACAGTTAATATTTTGTGCTCAACCCATGTGCATGAGAATGCTGTTTATCACGATCCATTAATTTTTAAATACACGATAACTAGGCCACTCAAACATTCTCCACAGTACAGTGAAAGAGCTAAAATACGTATGCTGGGAATTTATCTCACATTTCTAATGGGATAGTAAAGTCATTCTCTTCCTAGTCTCTTTCTGTTCAGAGGCCAAACCCCAGACTGTTTGCACAGTTGTTGTCATATTTGACCTTTGTGTGTGGCTGCATCAAGCTGTGAGTAGACCTGTGGTACGCCAACACCACGTGTCACTATGTACTGAGGTTCTACCTGAACCCAATGTTACAGAGGATGAGAGATAGTAGGAACTGCAGATGCTGGAGAATCTGAGATAACAAGGTGCAGAGCTGGATGAACACAGCAGGTCAAGCAGCATCAGAGGAGCAGGAAGGCTGACGTTTCGGGCCTAGACCCTTCTTCAGAAGTGGGGGAGGGGAAGTGGGTTCTGAAATGTATAGGGAGAGAGGGGGAGGCGGATAGAAGATGGATGGAGGAGAAGATAGGTGGAGAGGAGACAGGTCAAAGAGGCGGGGATGGAGCCAGTAAAGGTGAGTATAGGTGGGGAGGTAGGGAGGAGATAGGTCAGTCCAGGGAGGATGGACAGGTCAAGGGGGCGGGATGAGGTTAGTAGGTAAGAGATCGGGGTGGGGCTTGAGGTGGAAGGAGGGGATAGGTGGGAGGAAGGACAGGTTAGGGAGGCGGGGATGAGCTGGACTGGTTTTGGGATGCGGTAGGGGGAGGGGAGATTTTGAAGCTTGTGAAGTCCACATTGATACCATTGGGCTGCAGGGTTCCCAAGCGGAATATGAGTTGCTGTTCCTGCAATCTTCGGGTGGCATCGTTGTGGCACTGCAGGAGGCCCAGGATGGACATGTCGTCTGAGGAATGGGAGGGGGAGTTGAACTGGTTCGTGACTGGGAGGTGCAGTTGTTTAGTGCGAACCGAGCGTAGGTGTTCTGCAAAGCGGTCCCCAAGCCTCTGCTTGGTTTCGCCGATGTAGAGGAGGCCACAACGGGAACAGCGGATGCAGTATACCACATTAGCAGATGTGCAGGTGAACATCTGCTTGATGTGGAAAGTCTTCTTGGGGCCTGGGATGGGGGTGAGGGGGGAGGTGTAGGGGCAGGTGTAGCACTTCCTGCGGTTGCAGGGAAAAGTGCCGGGTGTGGTGGGGCTGGAGGGGAGTGTGGAGCGGACAAGGGAGTCACGGAGAGAGTGGTCACTCCGGAAAGCAGATAAGGGTAGGGAGGGAAAAATGTCTTTGGTGGTGGGGTCGGATTGCAGGAAGGGTTCTGAGGAAGGGTCACCGGACCCAAAACATTAATTTTGTTTTCTCCTCCACAGATGCTGCCAGACCTGCTGAGCTTTTCCAGCAACTTTGTTTTTGTTCTTGATTTACAGCATCCGCAGTTCTTTTGGTTTTTGTTACAGAGGATGAGTCTGGGTTCGTTGCCGCAGAATGCTCCAAGTAGTTGGATCATTTCCATATCACCTGTCCCTCATGGAAAAATTTGTAAAGGAAAACATCTTTGACCACCATTCCATCAGGCAGTGGTCAGCACATAGCATTCTTGTAATCCTGCAAGTAAAGGAGTACGCTGATCCTGCCATGTGGTGCCCTGAGCAGACTGTCCAGATCATTTGGCAGAATAGCCTTGTTGTCAGAACTTTCCGCCAGGCACCAAAGCATAGCTTGGCTGGTGGTGAGAAGGGCACTATGTGTGACGTCCTTCATGTATGCCTGGACTCTCTGTGCACCACATGCTGCCCTCGAGTGGCTGCGGAGAGGAAAAGACTATCACACGCCTCGTTCTGGAATGACCCTATGCAAAGAAGGTGTGGAAACAGATCCAGTTCTTTTTGTCAAGGCTTGCCCTGAGCAACTCCATGATGCAGGACTCTGTGCTCTACCGTCTATTCCCCCAGACACACAATGAAACAAACATCAACTGTGCTTGGAAGACCATCAGCTTGGTGAAACTTGTTGGTCTTCCACTACAAAGAGTAGATCTCGACTGAGTGTTGAGCTAGCACATTACAAGGTTCAGGATTATGTGCTGAGGAATGCACAAAAGCTTGGGCAGCTGCTGCCAAGGCAAGTGGGGAAAGACCACTGTCTAATTTCTTTCTGCCAAAGTGCAATGGGGGTTTATTCAGTTGTCAGACCCTCTTGTTGCCTCAGATGTATGTAGATTGTGCATAAGTAAGAAATACCTTTGGCCTTTGCAACTGCAGGGAATGTCAAATCCACAGTTTGTTTTTCTTGATACGCAAAGACTGTACAGAACTGCTCAAGTGCCTGTGTATGTACATAAAGACTTTTTTGAATAAAGTATATTTTTGCAATTTAAAAACAAATGATCCCGAGGTGATCTTCTAATAACATATCAGTGCAATCACAAAGACTGCCCATATGTAACATTATGTGAATCCTATCGGCCTCTGCTCATCTAACAACAAATTGTATTCATAAATTGCCTTTAATGTAATAAACAGTTCCAAAGAGCTTCATGAGGACATTATAGAGAAAAGTCATTCATAATGATATAATGAAGCAAAATTGAAAACATAAGGTGATAAGAAGTATTTGAGCAGATAATCAAATGCTTGATCAAATTGAGAGATTTCAAATAGCATCTTGAAGAACAGGAGAGGCCAGGCAGTTTAGGAAGGGAATTTCTGAGCTTCTGATGTGGGCATCAAAAGGTATGGACGAGTGATTGAAACTGGGAATGTACAAGAGGCCGGACTTAGATGCATGTAGATACCACAGAACGTTATGGGGCTGATGGCAATCACATTGATAGAGTGTGTGGCTGTTGAACGACTTGAAAACAAGGTTGAGCATTTTAAAATCAAGTTGTTGCTTAATAGGCCATCAATGTGATTTAGTGATCGCAGCTCTGATGAGTAGGCCAGATATCACACTAGTGCCTATGATAAACTTACATTTAAGAACACATTATTTTCAATGCGTGGTGTCACTACTCAGATAGTGTGCTGCAAATGAAGCCCCACTATTCCCAGAGTTATCACAAATGTGGAAAATCTGATTGAATTGCACAATTTTATCTAACTAATGAATTCTGGTTCAAAGAATACACACACCGTATTTTTTTCATTAACAAAAAATACTTTATTGTAATCAAATTTTTTAACCAATGGCAAGAAAGAAACATGAATTACTAACTTATAACTCTTAACATAAACTACCCCTTTTTAAAATTCTGATACACTAACAAAGCGACAAGGCACAAGTATTTTAATACAAAAACAGAAATTACTGGAGAAACTCAGCAGGTCTAGTGGCACTTGTGGAGAGAACGCAGAGATAACTTTTTGATGTTCGATGCAAGTATTATGAGTATATTGGGAGAAAATATCAGAAGCACAGTCTGGCACTTAGCCGGGTCATGAACGTTGACAAGTTGTTTTCTTTCAGCTTTCTTTTGATTCCTTCCAATTCTTTGCTAATGATGAGAGGCTGTGGTTGCACTGATTCCCAGTCTTTCATTCACTGTTTGAGTATTTACCCTTTTAATGACTTTGAAGATGTTTTTATTTTTTTCCCTTTTTAAGCAGGGAATTTTCAGAGAGAGAGCAGCTTACAGGGAAATGATGAGTGAGAATATCTGCCAGGAATTTAACTGTTACTTCTCCACACATGAGGAAGAAAAAGAGATTGAGGTGCTTTCTCTTTGCAGCCGAGAAGCTTCTGCTTAATGACGACATGCACAGGCTACGGTCACCTGCCCAGGAACCAATAAATTGGTGTCACTATGCTGATTCCTCCTGTGTCCACAACAGCTAGTCCCAATTGAAAAAAACAATCAAATGAGTGTCTCTGGTCCATTTCAACTCCATTTTGATTTAGTCCACTCCCTCTCTCCCTAACTTTCCTTCACCTTTGATGGTTTGCATTGTCTTTAACAGTCTTTGCACTTAAATAATTCAATTGGAAACACGGGTGATTTACTGGTGATGGTTAATAGATGACAAGAACACCACAGGTGATTTGGTGATGGATTAAGAAAATAGGTCAGTTCTATGTAAAGAGCATTTCTGGGTGTTAAAAAAAAGGGAAAAAAAACTGTCTCTGGACAAAATTGCCTTGAACACACCCAGGCAGTGCCCAAACTATCTAGAATTCTCCCTCACTGCTTGAATAAGGCGACATTGTCAATACAACCCACAATGTGTTTCAGACACTCAGTTTTAAAACTGCAAGCATCTTCGTTTCCTTGGTTTTAAGCAGTATCTTTTCCTATTTTATAGTCCACGGACAAAAAGAAGTGGACTCTACAAAGCATTATTTTTCTTATTAAAGGTAGTCCATCTATATGGCTGCTCCAGTTGGCTTCAACACACCTGGAATAGGAAAGAGGATATAACAAATTCCTGCTCCTTATCTAACTGATACCATCTATTGGACATGATCTGAAAACAGAATAATGTTCATCTGTAATGTCCTCTCTAGCCAAATGGAATTACATCTCTGACCATTTAGAATTATAGAGTCATGGAGGTCCGCAGCGCAGAAAAAGGCCCTTTGACCCATCAAGTCTATACCGGTCAAAAACAAGCACTTAACTATTCTAACCCCATTTTCCAGCATTTTGCCCATAGCTTTGTATGCCTTATCATTGTGAGTACGCATCAAAGTACTTTTTAGGTGTTATGAGGGTTTCTGCCTCTACCACAATTTCAGGCAGTTAGTTCCAGATTCCCATCACTCTCTGTGTGAAAAAATGGTCCTCTCATCCTTTCTAAACCGGCTGCCCCGTACCTTGAATCTATGCCCCCTAAACATTGATGCATCAACGAAGGGGAAATATCTCCTCTACCTACCCTGCTTTTTATACATCTCAATCATTCCCTGCCTCAATCTCTTCTGTTTCAAATAAAACAACCCCTGACTATCCAGTCTATCTTAATAACTAACACTTAGGCTGATACATTAAGAATAGTCTTTTGGGCATGGTTCTAGAGGACTGCTGGCACAAAAAGAACTGTACTGCAATAAGAGATGCATGTAGAAGGGGAAAATCAAATCCCTTACTCGTTCCTCCTATCCTCTTAGAACATAAACAAAACGTTTTCGCAAATGTGATATGAACAGTAATCAAACTTCATGCTGTAATGCCCTGGTAGAAAAGTAAATTTGCTTGGGCTGTCTAGAAAGTCGTCATAAAAGTGTGCACCCAGAAATGCTCTTTACGTAGAACTGACCTTTTTTCTTAATCCATCACCAAATCACCCGTGGTATTCCTGTCATCTATTAATCATCACCAGTAAATCACCCGTGTTTCCAATTGAATAATTTAAGTGCAAAGACTGTTAAAGACAATGCAAACCATCAAAGGTGAAGGAAAGTTAGGGAGAGAGGGAGTGGACTAAATCAAAATAGAGTTGAAATGGGCCAGAGATACTCATTTGATTGTTTTTTTCAATTGGGACTAGCTGTTGTGGATCTCTGTGGTTATGAATTGGTTATGGAAAGCCTTGTATTCTTTGTGATTGTTATCATAAGATTATTAGTTATCAAGAACAATCTAGCATTCACTTAATTGTTATTAGGTCTTTGAATTTCTTAGACCATTGTAGAGATTGTGATTATCAAAATGTATCATAGCATCACCATTACAAAGGACTCAGTGCTTTCCTGGCCCCAAATTTACTGAATTTATCTCCTGGATATCTGAGTCTAATGTATGCTGATATCTGATAGGATCATGAGAGGTTTACTCAATGGATGAAGAGGAGGCAGACAGAATTAAATACAGATAAGTGCAAAGAATGTAATTCAGTAAAAGAAATGAGAATGTAGATTACATATTAAGTGGCAACATTTTTGAGCTCATTGAACAAGGAAGAGATCTGTGAAAAGTTGGCTGAAAACCTTTGTTCAGGTTTGGCTCTCTCTGTCTTCAGTGCTTGTAGCTACTCCTGCCGGGTGATTTGCTGTTGTGGTAAATCACAGTCACTTATCTGGCATCATCCTCATGCATCCACTGTAGCTTGACTGGAACTACTCTGTGATATCTGTTGTCTAACTAAGCCATGATTGAACCCACTTTGCCATGAGGCAGAAGTCTCTAGCTTTTCTGCTTTTTTTTCCAAAACTGAAAAATACACACAAAATATTGGAATGTATAGCCAGAACAAAAATCCAGTAAAGTGTTTAATAGAGTAAAAGGCACTATATAGAAGATATGCAGACAGACTTGGACACTGAATCACTGCAGTCATTAGGACGGGTGAACAAAGGTTTGGACAAAAAGGTAGATCTTAAAGGAATTAAGAGACTCAGAAGTTTTAGACTTTAGAACAAATAGTGATTTTCTGTTAATGAGGAAACCTGGTGTGAATTGCTTTTGTCCCGAATAAATGTCAGTCAGGCAAATTAATCATTTTAGTGGTTTAGTTGTGATATTACACATTTTGTAACAGCTTGTGGAACATTGGGGCCCAATTATCTGCATACTTATTGCAATTGCGAAAGAATTCGAGTCTAGATTACTGAATGTTGGCCACCATCGATGGACCAATTAAAATAATGAATTTGCACGATGTTAGAATGGCAAACGTTTGGGAGAATTGTATGATTAGAGAAGGGTAACAGTAGGGATGGTTGAGGTAAAGAAGGGATTAGAATATAGGAATAATAATTTTTCATATGAGGAAATGATGGACTGAAAGCCAATGTGGTCAGCATGCCTGGTGAGTTAAGATAAAGGCTGCTGAGATTTGGATGGTGGAAGTTGGGAGGTGGTCAGGTATGCATTGAAACAGTCAAGTCTGATGGAATAACAGTATGAGCAAAGGTTTCAGTAACACATGAAATGAGACAGAAATAAGAAGGAGATGATCACCTTGATAGGATTGTACTACAGGCTCTCCAATAGTGAGTGGGAAACTGAGGAGCAAATATGTAGAGATCTCAGTTAAGTGTAATAATAATAGGTATGTGCTAGTAGCACATTTTAACTTTTCAAAGATAGACTGGAACTGCCATAGTGTTAGGGCTTGGATTTTAGTAAAGCCTTTGACAAGGTTCCGCATGGTAGACTGGTTAATAAAGTTAGATGACATGAGATTCAACGAGAGCTTGCCAATTGGATGCAAAATTGGCTTGATGTTAGGAGACAGAAGATGGTGGTGGAAGGTTGTTTTTTGGATTGGAGGCCTGTGGCCAGCGGTATTCTGCGGGGATTATGCTGGGTCCACTGTTGTTTGTCATTTATACAAACAATTCAGATGAGAATTTAGGAGGCATGGTTAGTAAATTTGCAGATGACACCAAAATTGGTGGTTTGGTAGATAACGAAGCAGGTTATCTAGGATTACTAAAGGATCTTGATCAATTGGGCCAACAGGTTGAGGAGTGACAGATGGAGTTTAATTTGGATAAATGCAAGGTATTACAATTTGGTAACACAAACAAGGGCAGGACCTATACAGTTAATGGTAGTGGCCCTGGGTAGTGTTGTCAAACAGAGAGACCTAGGGGTTCAGATACATAGTTCTTTGAAAGTTACATCACAAGTAGACAGGGTGGTTCAAAAGGTGTTTAGCATGCTTGCCTTCATTGCTCAGACCATTGAGTATAGGAGTTGGGATGTCATGTTGATGTTGTACGTGTTGAGGACGTTGATGAGGCCACTTTGGAGTACTGTGTACAGTTCTGGTCACCATACTATAGGAAGAATATTACTAAATCAGAGAGAATTGAGAAAAAATTTACAAGGATGTTGGCGGGATTGGAGGGTATGAGTTATAAGGCGGGGCTGGATACGTTGGGACTTTTTTCACTAGAGCGTAGGAGATTGAGGGATGACTTTACAGATGTTTATAAAATCATGAGGGCCACAAATAAGGTGAATAGCAAAGGTCTTTTTCCTAGGGTAGGGAGAGTTCAAAGTTGGAGGGATTATTTTTGAGATTAGCGGGGAAAGATTTAAAAGGGACTTGAGGGCAACATTTTCACACAGAATGTGGTTTGTATATGGAATGAACTGCCAGAGGAAGTGGTAGAAGCAGGTACAGTTACAACATTTAAAGATGCTTGGACAGGTACATGATAACAAACGTTAGAGGAACATGAGCCAAATGCAGGCAAGTGGGACTAGTTTAGTTTGGGAAACTTGAGCTGCCAGAGGAGGTGGTGGAGGCAGGTACAGTTACAACATTTAAAAGGCATCTGGATGATTAGGAAGAGTTTAGAGGGATATGGGCCAAATGCTGGAAAATGGGACTAGATCAGTTTAGGATATCTGGTCAGTGCAGATGAGTTGGACCGAAGGGTCTGCTTCCATGCTGTATAACCCTATGACTGTATAGTTGGCACGGACGCGTTGGACTGAAGGCTATGTTTCTGTGCTGTGTGACTCTACGACTCTATGACTCTAAGTCTTTCCTTGTATTAGAATTCTGTCTTTTAAATTTCTTGGTTTTTCTGCCTTTTCTTTCAACCAAAAGAACGTGGCTCTCCACTGACAGATTTGTAACAAATTGCTGTTGGACCAATCCGAGGACTGATGTTAGGCCATTTCTCATTAACTCAAAAGCCCCTTATACTGGTCTGACTCAATAGTGTATCATTCTCACTGCTCCAACAGCAATACTGCCTTGTATTGCTAAGAATGTGCACAGCTTGATTTTTCCATCTGTATTTTGGCTACGTAGCAATCCGACTTCCATTCCAACTTATAGTCCGAAAAAGAAGTATGTGTGACCCCTTATATTGATTGAATGATTTATTGTCACGTGTACTGAAATACAGTGAAAAGCTTTGTTCACGAGCAGTACAGGCAGATCACAGCAAGCAAAGGATGTACAGATCAAAAAGACTTAGAGGCATACAGGTTACATTCTAGGTTACATTATTTGAGGCTATAGCCTATTCAACAGTCTGATACGGCTGGAAAGAAGCTGTTCCTGAACCTGCTCGTGTGTGTTCAGGTTTCTGTATCTTCTGCCTGACGGAAGAGGTTGTAGGAGGTCATTACCAGGGTGCGATGGGTCTTTGATGACGTTTGCCACTTTTCCACGGCAGCGAGCCGTGTAAGTACAGTCCATGGATGGAAGGTTGGCTTCCGTGATGGTCTGGGTTGTGCACACCACCTTCTGTAGTTTCTTACAGTCCTGGGCAGAGCAGTTGCCATACCAGTCCGTTATGCATCCGGACAGTATGCTTTCAATGATGCATTTGTAGAAGCTGGTGACAGACCTTATGGACATGCCAAATTTCCTGAGCCACCTGAGGAAGAAGCGGCGTTGTTGTGCCTTCTTGACTGTCCCATCTATGTGGGAAGTCCAGGACATGCTGTCAGTTATTGTCACTCTGTGGAACTTGATGCTCTTCACTCTTTCAACCTCAGTTCCATTGTAGATGGGGGCGTGATCTCCTCCTTTCTTTCTGAAGTCAATGATCAGATCTTTAGTTTTGCCAACATTGAGAGACAGATTGTTTTCATTGCACCATGTTGCCAAGCCCTCTATCTCCCTTCTATATTTTGACTCGTCGGTGTTAGATATTCGTCCCACTATGGTGGTGTCATCAACTAACTTGTAGATGTCATTCATTCGGAATTTGGTAACACAGTCGCAGGTGTACAGGGCATACAGTAGGGGGCTGAGGACGCATCCTTGGGGGCTCAGTGTTGAGTATTATTGTGGAGGATGTGCAGTTTCCTATCCTCACTGACTGTGGCCTATGGATCAGAAAGCTGAGGATCCAGTTGCAGAGGATGGAGCTGAGATCAAGGTCACGCAGTTTTGAGATCAGTCTGGAGGGGATAATGGTGTTGAAGGCGGAGCTTTAGTCAACAAGCAGGAGTCTGACGTAGGTGTCTTTGTTGTCCAGATGTTCTGGGGATGAGTCTTTTGAGTATAAAATAAAGCTCCTATGTAAGGTATGCAAAAAGGAAAAGATTAGCAAAGACAAATGTAGATCCATTACAGGCAGAGACAGGATAATTCATAATAGGAAATAGAGAAATGGCAGAGGAAATGGCAGTGATTTGTATATCTCTTCACAGAGGAAGTCAAATAAAGTCTCCCTCAGATAATTAAGATCCCAGGGACTAGTGAGAATATGAAATTGAAATAAATTAATTAGTTAAAAAAAAGAGAAATAAATGAAACTGAAAACTGACAAATCTCCAGAACTTGATGATCTTTACCCTAGAATGCTGAAACAGATGGCTACAGAGATGGGGAATGCATTCGTGATCATCTTTCAAAATTCTGTTATTTCTGCAGTGATGCCTGCAGAATGAAAGATTGCAAATGTGATCCCACGATTTTAAGAAGGAGGGGGAGAGAAAACAGTGAACTACAGACTCGGCGCATAGAAAGGAAAGTACTAGACTCTTGATATTACTTTATTGACCTTTTCAGAGATGTTATTACACACCTTCGGAAGTAGGGGACTCAATCACTGCCCCACAAGATGATACTAGAATGATACTAGAATCTACTATAAAAGATGTGATGGCTAGATTTTAGAAAGTAAGTGTTTGATTGGGATAGAGTTAACATGAATTTATGAAGCGAGAATCATGTTTGACAAGCCAGATAACATTTTTGACGATGTTACTAGCAGAGCCATTGAAGGGGATGCCTGTGAATGTGGTGTATTTGGATTTTCTGAAGATTTTTCTTAAAGATCCACAGAGGAGAATAGTAAACAACATTAAAGCGCACTGAAGTGGTGGTAATACACTGGCATAGATTGAGAATTTGTTAATAGGCAGAAAACTGAGAGTAGGAATAAATGGGTTATTCTCAGGTTGGCAGCCTGTGACTAATGGTAAACGCAAATGTCTTTCCTTGGACCCCAGCTGTTCACAATGTATATCAATGATTTAGATCTGGGTATTGTTGTATTTCCAAGTTTGGAAATGATACAAAACTCGGTGGGAATATGAGTTGTGAGAAGAATAACGAGAGCCTTCAAGGAGATTTCGACAGGTTCAGCAAATGAGCAAAAGCATGGCAGGATATAATGTGGATAAGTGAGAGGTTGTCCACTTTGGTTGGGCGAACAAAGATGCAGAATAATTCTTAAATGGTGAGCTAGTGAAAAGTGTTGATGTCCAAAGGGACCTAGATGTCATTGTTCATATGTCAGTAAAAGCTAACCTGTAGCTGCAGCAAGAAATTTGCAACGCAAAAAGTGTGTTCACTTTCATTGCAAAAGAATTCGAGTATCAGAATAAGTAAGTCTAGTGAGACCACACCTGAGTGTTATGGGCAGTCTAGTTTCTTTGCCTAAGGATGACTATATTTATATCCAAATCCTGTAAAGGAAATGCAGCAAAGGTTAACCAGACTGATTCCTAGAATGGTGGGACTGGCCTATGAAGAGACCAGGTCTGTATTCTCAAGACTTTAGAAGAATGAGAGGCAATCTCATAGAAATGTACACCTTTTTTAGAGGGGTAGACAGGGTAGATATCAATCTAGTTAACCTCATTTCAGCCCCCCCACGCATTTACATCCTTCTTTAAATAAGGAGACTAAAACTGTACATGTTATTTGAGATGTGTTCTCATCTGTATAACTGAAGCAGAGCAATCCTTACTTTCGTGTTAAATTTCCTCTAGTAATAAAGGACAATATCCGTTAGCCTTTTAACTATTTGTTGTGACTCGTGCTAGAACATCTGTATCCTTCTAAACTACAGAATTCTACATTGTTCACAGTTTCAGTAATACTCTATTTTTTAAAATGCTTCCTGCCAAAGTAAACAACTTCAGATTTTTCTTACATTATTATCCATCTGCCACATTTTTGCCTGTTCATCCAATCTATCTATATCTACAACTACAATATATCCTCTTTATAGCATATGTTCCTTGTTGTCATCTGCATATTTAGCTACTATGCCTTTTGCTCCTCATCTAAGTCATTGATGTAAATTGTAAAATATTGAGACCTCAGCAGAGACCTTTTGAAATCCCACTGATACTTCCTACCAATCACACAAAGACACGTTTTTGCATGCTCTGTATTCTGCACCCAGTCAATCCTCTACCTGTGCTGGTATGTTGCCCCCTGCATCATGAATACTTGCATTGCACAAAACCTTTTATGTGGCACCCTGTCAGATGCCTTCCGGAAATCCAAGTACAGTAAGTCATCAGGCTCCTTTTTGTCCACAGCACATGTCGCTCCTTCAAAGAACTCAAATAAACTGGTTAAACATGATCTCCCTTTCACTCTGCCACATTATCTTGACTATTGCTAAGTGCACAGCTATAATTACTCTAATGATCAATTCCAACACTTACTTCATAACAGACATCAAGCTAACTGGCCTATAGTTTCATGTTACCTGCCTCCCATCCCTCTTGAATAGAAGGATTATAACTGCTGCTTTCCAGTCTGATGGAACCTTTCCAGAATCAAGAGAATTTTGGAAAATTAACACCAATGCATTCACTACCTTGTGAGCCACCTCCAGAATTTTTTGCTGTAACAAATGATCTTGAAAACGTCTCATCTAAACTACCATTGCCAATTTTCCCACTTTATGTGTTGATCAAAGTCGCCCAATTCCTATCTTTTGATCTCAAGCACCTGGTATTTATTGTTGCATGCTTCGTCTCCCATTGTGGTTACCATAACAGGGCCTGCAGCATCGACAGTAGAAGAGCCTGGAGCCAGGACTCCAGCATCAGATATCCGGCGGCATTGTCTGGAGGAGTGTTGGATGGGGAACAGGAGCTATGAAACCAAGCCCATGGCTCCAGCTCGGATTCTGTGGTTGTGGTAATGGCGATGGCAGATGCAGGCCTGTAATCGAAACCCTGGAGCCCAATACAGAGACTATGGCCGATGTCAAGCAGCATCTGAGGGAACAGTGGAGGAGGTGTAAAAAGAAGACAGAAAGATGAACTCTATTGCAGTAAAATCTTGCATTATATTCAGTGTTTCAAGATGGCGCCAGAGCTTGGCAACACATTGTGTTTAACACACAAAAAACAATTTTCACTGTATTTTTATATACATGTGACAATAAATCTAAATCTAAATCTTTCACCCACTGTTTCTCATCTCCAACCAAATTGACTGTACATCTTAAAAAAACCCGAAAGGACTGCGGATGCTGTAAATCAGGAACAAAAACAAAGTTGCTGGAGAAGCTCAGCAGGTCTGGCAGCATCTGTGAAGGAAAAGAGTTAATGTTTCAGGTCCGGTGACCCTTGTGACTGTACATCTTGAATCTCTTGAACCAAGGCCATCTCTAACTATTGCAGCTAAGCCATTTTGGAGGCTGACAAAAGTATACCTCCCTTACCAAAATTACTGACTACTTCACTGCATTTTGTGCCACTATAGCTAACCTATTGTTTGTAATTCTGAAATTTAAATAAATCTACCATCTTGAAATTACAGAACCAGTTTAGGCCAGTTTGCTAACCAGCTAATCCCTGCCATTCTTCTGCACCTTGCCCTTGCTCCAGCTTTCTTTGTGTCCTTGCCAAGACAGATTCTGCAGAGAGAACTGCCAGCTCACTAAATTATGAGCATAACTACCTGTTTCCTTAAAAGTACTAAAACAAATGCAGCGCTTACATATTAAGGATAGTATGTAGTTTACAACTTTGGTGGCTGATCTGTGGTGAGTTAATCATTTGAAAAGGAGTCCTTCAAAAATGAAAATAAGAAACACTGTTGGAGAAAGATCTGTTATACAGTTGGAAAGGTAAAACCAAATGAAATACCAAAAAGTATACATTAATACATATTGGAGGAAATAGTGACTAACATGATCCACAATGAAGGAAATATAACTAATATGCATAAACTTTCACATGGCTTAATGACCAAGAGTAGATTAATCACTTCTAATATAAAAAAAAAGTTGAATTTATGGATACATAATCAAAACAGTTATTAAGTTGGTGTATTTAGAGAGCAATTATCAGATCTCATTCAGAATACTTTGTCCAGTACTGGCCAACATGTTATGTTGGTTTGCAATGATTTATCATAGACTTACTCACTCAAATTTTAATTTTGTTTGAAGTTGGAAAATAAAATTATACGATATTGCATTTTTGATTTTTAAAATGTGTTTGTGAATAATGCTGTATTTTTGCCAGGAAGACCAGATTTGGGTTTTTCTTTATTCTTCCATGGGCTATTGGCATAGCTGCAAAAGTCAGCATATGTTGCCCATTGTAATTACCCATGAGAGCAGTTAAGAGTCAACCAGAAAGCTTTGAGCCTGGAGTCACATGTGGGTCAGACCTGGAAAGGACAGCAGATTTCCAACCCTAAAGAACATTAGTGAATTGGGTGAGTTTTTAATGACAATTGGTAATAGTTTCATTACTGAAATTAGCTTTCAATTGCAGGTTTTGTTGATTCTAAATACCACCAATTGCCTTTGTAGGATTTAGCTTGTGCCTCTGGAGCACTAGTCCAGTGACATTATCAATATGCCACTGTCTCCTCTTCCAGTTATGGGAAAACATGTATGGAAATTACTGCAAAAATGTAGGATGCCTTCAGGAAACATGCTGCAGGTATATTATGGCCATCTTGTTGTTCTTAGAGCATCATAGAAATGAGGAATAACTTATGACCAAAGGCACGAAAATACCTAAATCTACACCCAAGGAGAGCTTTGTATGGCAGTTGCTTTTATTGATATCTCCATTGATGAATTAGTGGTGTAAGGGAGGAAATCAACATCAAAATTCTTCCCTGATTACAAAGGCAAGAAGAAAGGAAAAACGGCACTCATGGGGAACCAGTAAAATTTGAACAAAGGATTAATGGCCTTGATCTTGGAGCTAGAACCTTAAAATGTTGGAGGTCAAGTTTTGCATTATGTGTAGTGTGGAAGTAAATGCTAAAAAGAAATAGGTTAGCCGAAAAAGGGACCGGACATGTGGTCCATTAATTTTCTTTTTTTTTGAGGGAAGTAGTCACTCAGTTGGACTTTGCTTAGTCAGTTTATTTCTGTATGAAGTAAGGCAGCTTTTAATTTATAACTGGCCTAACTACAAAGTATTCCAATCTACCTTTGGAAACTTTGGAGAAGAATCCAGGCAGCACAGAAAAGCACAGTATCCTTTTCAGATCAAAAATAAATTCTTTTTTAATCCCAGGATATACAATTTCACAGAATCACAATGAACAGAAGTAGCCTTTGAGTATTTTCTTTTGCTGTTCAGTTAGATAGTGGCTAATCTCTGCCTTATCTTTGTATATCTCCCCAATTTGCTCCATATTGCTTGACACCTTAGCCTAATAAAAATCTAACTATGCCAGTCTTGAAAGCTGTAATTGCCCCGGAATCACAGCCTTTGAGAAGAGAGTTCCAGGTTTATCTATAGGAGAGGCTGGAGAAACTCAGATTATTTTCACTAGGGTGGCAGAAGATAAGGGACGACCTGATAGAAGTATATAAAATTGAGAGGTATGGATAGGGTGGATAGTCATTTTCAAGTACTAGGTAGCATGTGTTTAAGGTGAGGGGGGAAAGTTTAAAGGAGATGTGTGAGGCAAGTGGCAAGTTTTTTTTATACAGAGGGTGGTAGGTGCCTGGAACATCCTGCCAGGGGAGGTGGTAGAAGCAGATACAATAGCAACATTTAAGAGGTATTTAGACAGACACATGAACTGACAGGGAATAGAGGGTATGGACCTTGTGCAGGCAAATAGGATTAGTTTAGAATGGCACCATGGATGGTGCAGACAAGGATGGACCGAATAGCATATTCCTGTGCTGTACTGTTCTATGTTATAATGTTCTGTTCCCCAATACATGAAAAAAGTGCTATCAGATTTTGCTCTTGAATGACCTTTTTCGAATTTTAAGATTATGTCCCCTTGTTCTAGATTCTGTCACATAGGAAATCGTTTTCTTGTGCAATGCCCTCGGATGTAACAGCACAAAACACTTATCTGCTGTCCTTGAATTTCTTTGCATCCATCTGAGCAGGGAGGTAAGCTCCTAGTTGAGCATCCCATCTAAAATATGGAGTTCCAGCATAACAGCATTCACTTAGTAGTGCATTGAGGGCCATGCTGGATTGTTGCATTGAAGCCCTGGCTCTGGTGTGGGGAAATTGAATCTAGCACCTTATGGCTGAAAAGCAAGATTCAAGGGAGCCACAGCTGCTCCCCTGAGGAAATAGTTTCTCTACATCTATCCTAACAAATCCATTTAACATTTTAAGTATCATAAGCAGATCATCCAGTAATTGCCTATATTCCTGTATACATATGCCACTTATGCATTATTTCCTTATAAATTAAGCTCCAAGCTGTAATAATCATTCTGATGAAGGCAGTGGATACATCCATAAATTGAAGGCAAATTAATATATCCTGAAACTGAAGGCATTTCTTTGGAAGGGGTATGGCCAGGACTCTCTATAACTGAAACAAACTTCCTCCTGTTTGTCTTACTGCTCACCTGAGGTAAGGTTCATAGTTGAATGATTATTTTTGATTATTTTTATTAGACTGATCTTTAATTTTTAATGGTTTGTGTACTTTAACTATTAACTATTCTGTTCGTTCTCTGCAAGCTCTATTTTCCTACCATTTAGGAAACATGCCAATTTATGTTTATTAGGTCCAAAGTGAATGCCCTACCACTCGTTGATGTATAACTATGTTTAGCTTAGTTCAGCCTACACATATCTATCTTCTTTTACAATTTCCTACTCCCATCTATACTTTTAGTGGCCCTCCTAACTAAGTATCATTGTGAATGTTATGAAAAAAGAAACATGCATTTGAAACTTTTCATCTTGCTGTATCTACTACCAAACAACTATTGAGGTGTCATCTGCATATTTGGATATGGAAGTCTCGATTCCTTCATCCAAGTAATCAATAAATTGAGTGAAATGTTCAGGCCTCAAAACAATCCTGGGGAACACCTTTTGAAACTTGCTGCCAACCCGAGTATGTATTTTTTCCACTCTATCTTCTACTCCCAACTATTTTTCAATCCAAGTCAATTTTACTTCTCATTTAACATTGCACAATGTTTTTCAAACATGTTTGTAATTCCTGTGCTGACTATGATAGGTGACTTCCTGTGGTCCAGCAATGTTATGGTCTGACAAATGTCCAGTCCCAAGGCTGCCAGACTACTGAGGAACTGCATGCATTGGATAAAGTGCTCCATGGCGAAAACAGTATTGGCAGATCTAATAGCTTCCCAAAACTAATATATAATTAGATACCGGGAAGCAGTATGTGTTGCCATGAAGCTGAAAGTGTGCTGGAAGCCGATTCAGTTCAGGCATTTAAGAGGGCATTAGGTGATTATTTGAAGAGAAATAATATGTCAGGATATGGGGAAAAGGCAGAAGAATAACACTAAGTCATTATGCTACTTTGGACAGCCGGTGTAGGCAAGACAGTCCAAAGCCCTCCTTATGTGCCATAATGTTTTGGTGATTCAGTGAACATTAATGAATTAAATTAAAATATTTATCTTCTGTATTTTATAACACTTTCATTAAAGAGGGCTTTTTGTTTATTGAGAGCATTCCCACCTCTAAATTACAAAGTGAAAGGTTTGACTCCTACTTTAAATAGATGTTACAAAGGTAACAAAAGGACAAAACTAAGGGCTCTGTGTTTGAATGTGTGTGGCATTCGTAACAAATTAAGTGAATTTATAGGGCACATTGAAGTGAACAAATACAATCTGATAGCCATTGTGGAGACATGGCTTTGTGTGTGTGTGTGAGAAAGAGAGTGTGAGAGAGAGAGAGAGATTCAAAGAAGCTATGTAAAGGTGAAGGTCTAGCATAGTTCAAGATGACCTTAGTTCTGGAGATCAGGAAGTAGAATTGGGTTGAGTGGAATTTGA